CCTGACAGGAGGAGACCTGCCGATTGCTATAAGACAAAAAAGGTAAAGAGCCAATTGATGGTCTGTGGAGGTTACTGTCTTTTGGCACCCGTGGATGGCAGCCATTTGCAGAGCTTCCACGTCCTTTCTTTCCACAGTTGACTTCGATGCAAACGGATTGTTTTACCGTCACGGCCTTGACAGACTGCACCTTAGGCAAACTCACATTCGCCACCTGTGGTGAAATAAATTTTATGCAAGGTTTGTGTAGCCAAGCGCATATTCCAACCACCGAGTTCAGAATAGAAGGAGAAGTGGGGTTCGCACCGCTATACTGGCGAATAGCTACCATAACATTGGAAGGCATGCATACAAATTAAGGATGGTTAACTCCTCCATCCTCCTTGAGGTGGAAATCAGCTGTCGATACAATCGTTTCCACGGTACCTTCATGTGTAGCGCAACCACACTCCGTCCTTCTTTGTGACCGAGTTAATCTGATTTGTCTCCTTATTGCCTACTCATCCTTCTTATTGAGCAGACTTTCCTCATATTCACCGATTTTAACTGGGAACTGTGACCATCAATACCTCGAACTCTAGTACTGAAGGCAGGTTGAGTAATTAGTAGCCAATTGTCTACCTAAAAAAAACTTCCAGGGAGAGCAAATCTTTTCCAAAAATAATTGGCTTCTGTAAAAAGCAATGCAATAAAAATAGTAGCCTTTAATCGACAACTTTTTGGATGATATTTTAAGGACAGAGAACAGGCTGTAAGGCATGAGAACAAACAGATTGTTTAAACAACCGACAGTTATCCACCATATGGTCATAATCATAAGTCATTTTAACTGTCAACTTAGCACACACTTCGTTACTCCTCTCTCTACCTCTCTTTAAAAGTAATAAAAATCTCAAGAGATATCACCGGCAGCCCTCTGAGCACAATTTGGATTCAGCGCGGGGAGCAGCGATCTGATTGGTTCGTTCCAAACCAGCTCCAATTTTAATTGGTTCCTAGATTTATCTGTTACTGGAATAAATAAAAATGGATTGTAATTTTATTTAAAAGCCTTTAAAGTACATCTTGCATTAGACATTAAAAGGGAAGACTTAACAGCAGCTTTGGCTAGGTGATGGATTAACTTGTCAGTAGAAGGGGAGTTCGATGTTTTGCAGTATCGCACATCCGAAAAGACCTTCATCAAAAATTCTGAAGGATTTACGATCTTTAACGTATTATTTCTGAGATTGATTTATTTCATTGTGATTGGTAGAAAGTGATTAATAGGACCACGTTTATTGAGATGGCACATTACAAAGATGGAAGGAGTGTTGACAGTGAAAAGAGGGGGTAATTAATGAAGCTACCTCGTACTGCCACAATTCCAATCTCACGCAGAGTAAAATGCCATGGAAAGAATAGGTGTGGTTGGTGAGGACTACTTTGCGACTTCCTTTTTCCCCTTTTTGTGCAAAACGCTGCTACTTAAGTGTCAGAGCCTTATTCCTCAACCACGGCTTTCATTACTTTAAAGTGGGCTGATTATGATGCTTTGACACCTCTAGGAATGCGGTTTTAGAGCCTTCAAAGGGATACTAAGTATCTGACAAATTATTTTCCACCTTGTATTCTCCACAAAATACTGGCCGTGACCTTATTGAACAAGCATTGCGGGCCGGTTTCGTGGCTTGCTATCTCATGAACATTAAATATAAGCTGGGTCTTGAATAGTTCCATTTCCACACATCCTCCTTCTATGAAATAATTACACTAAGTCAGTTAGTCACTTTGTATTTGGATGTCCAATGGAAGTGAAGAGCCATTTTTTACCGGACATCGCGGTTAAAGTCGGTGTTCTATGTCTGATCCAAGTTGAAATTTAGACGGAGAGGACGTCTGTGTTAGCCCTCGACGTCCGACGCGATTAATAGATGGTGTTTAGTCAGCATTGAAACAGCCCCTTTTCCAACCGGTTTCAAGTGGTTTGTTACGATTAAGGGAGCTGAAGCATGAATGACGGAATCCGGAAGTCATTTTACGTCGATTTAAATAGTGAAAGTAGGGAAATAATTTGTAGGGTTAAATGTGTTCTCCGGTGCCACTTTCATCTGTGAATGCGTGGCGTTTCGTCCTAGAACCGTATTTCAAGACAAAGCAGTACTTTTAACAACAAACGCAGGTTCAGCATCCCCACTAAAAGTAGGCATTCATCCGCCTCAAAGAAAACACATTCAGCTTCAAATTGACTGCGTTTAGTTCAATCAACCAAGCCAATCTGGTTGACACACACGATTCTGCACGTGATTTGGTGCCTCTTATCAATTGTCTACAAGTCACAGGCAGCACATCGTGCAAAAGCTCCATGAAGAAATCAATGCGTCACACATGTGTGACGCTGGTGG